GAAAGGCGACGTGTATGGCTGGCGGTAAATGGACTTTCCACCGAGAAGAAAACGAGGACACACGGAACATTGGCTACAGTCAGGGAGTAGTAAATTTGTGATGCTGTTCTCTTTTTTGACCATCGCAATGGATACGGTAGCTTGGATTTGGGAGGATCGGACATTTTAACAGATGAGGTGGTTGGTCCGGAGAATACGAAAGGAAGAAAAAAACCCAATTGGCACGGACAACAGCTAGGCCACATGAACATCGATATCCACAGTTATGGTTGCACCCTGCCTATAAGTATCGAGTATTATTTGATATTAGCATCATCCACGCCGTCAATGGTCGTGTTGAGAGTCCGCCAGGACCAAGACGCCTCAAAATCGGCGATGAGTTTATAGACGCCATAAAACTTGTCCAAGTCACTTTTCTTTTTGGCGGGTTAAGTGCGAGAAAAACATTCCGCTTGACTTTGAGTTAGCGCTCTTCCTATCATCTATCCTCGTCAAGGATGCCTGAGCTGGGTTTCATGTCCGTTTCTCTAAAATATCGTTTCGGAGCCACCTTCAAATGGTTGTCGCCAGCAGCCCTCCCCGCGTGGCACAGCCCAAAAATGATTTTCCATTCAAGAGACCAGAACGACTTGCCATTGCAGAGCGATGGTTGGTGCTGTACCCACATGGAAGTCGGCGATATTTTTTTCTCTTTTGCGTCAGCAGAGCCTCACAAATTCGCTGAGACGTGGGGGTCTGAGCTGCTTGCCTGCTCCAGGTTGTTTTCCCAGTGGAACGATTATATCTATCACTTTTAATTCTTCAATGATATTGGCCTACCCTAGTAGTTAATGAAGTTCTACTAATTCGCTCAGAAAGGCCAGGATAGAAAGAGGTGCGGGGGAAGTCAATAATGAAAAACCATTTTCTTCATCTCCGCTGAATAGCCAGCCGTTTCACCGTTTCAGCCAATGTCATTCCTTTCTCGGCCAGTTTCACTTCTCACCATCCTTAAGAATTGAACCTTCGAAACTATGTTGGTTGATCATCGGACATCGTGAACGATGCATTTCGTGCATTTTCAGTTGCCGCGTGAGACAAGCGAAAAGGTGCGGAGCATCATGAAAGGGTTAGACTTTTTGGAGGCTTCAACGATCGCTCCTTTGGTGTCACAGGATAAATCTTTTACAAACCGACCCGTTGATATGAGAGCTGTGAGTGGTTGATTCTGAAGTCAGGGTTTGCGAGAAAAAAAGTAAAGCTGTAGTTAAGGGGGAAAAAAAAAAAAAAGGGGGTAGAAACCTGGTTAGACAAAGCACTGGCTTGACAAAATCATGGTGGTTGGAGGTTAAACAACGTCCGTTCTGGACGCATTATTATTACGCGTGATGTTTACCTAGTACATCATAGCTTTAGGGCAAAGCTACCAAGAACACCGGGCGAAATCAAGGGAAGGCCGAAGGTGATATTTTCGGGTATCCGGGGGCGCGCCGCGCGGTCATGGCCCCCAAAATATCAGATGCGTTCCTACGGAAAGCAGAGCAACAAGCGAAAACCTGTAACCGAACAGCGAAAGCTTGATCTTCAAAAGGCCATCGAGTCCAGACTAGTACCTACTACGAATTCCCAAAAGAATGGCGTCTCTCTTCTTGCTTGCTCGTCTGCTCGCAATGATGCTGACCCTGACGCCGTTTGCTTGGTGAAGTTTCCACATTGGCATAGATCAAATTGGCATAGATCCACATTCAATCAGCGCGGATGTCGATGCCTCACGGGTGGTGGTTGACGTAAATCACAATGTCAGGAGATCGAACGTGAATCAGAACGAGTTATGCATGCCATGTAGTTCAATCTAACATCTACCCCCTTATCCCGGCTCATAGTTTGGAAATTTGGCGCAGGAGACTGGGAAGACTTGGTGGAAAACATTATTATTCTTCTTGTTCCTTTTTTCCCTGTGGAGCACCCCCATCGTTGTTAGTCGTTGTCCAGATGTCCGGATGTAACACGCACACACACGAGGTAAATAGTAGGACAGATAAGTTTGTAATATTTTGGAGATACAGTGCATTTGTCGTCCATTTCGAAAGTTCTCGTTGTTTGGCAAGTATTATCTGTAATCACACAAGCTCAATTTGAAACTGATGGCTGAAATATTACATGTATGATCAAAGTTTCAAGTGGATGTTGCAGCAAATCGGCGAGTAGCTTCCAATGTTCTCGCTGCAACTCGGTATTTAATCTGTGGCCGTTTTATAACGAGTGGAAGCCGTCGGGGGATAGCCGCTTGTATATTTAAATGTTTGCTTGATGGATTGGGTTGGTCTCGGCGAAATTGCACAGATAAAATCAATCTATGAAGTTGATGCCGAAAATTCACCAAAAGGAATACCCTTAGAATCAGTAACTGAAGATTTTGGCGCAGTTTCTGAATGGGTTTCCATCACTTTGCCAACGCATTGACCGGAGGCGACTGGAGAACAAGGAGTGATGACCTCAGCCAGCCGCGAACTTCAACAGCCCCATTAGCAAGGGGAACTTGGTCAAGGATTTGACCTCATACTAACCAAATTTAGCCAGTAGATACTTGCCAAAACAAAGCGCAGCGCCAGTGATTCGTAAAAACACTCTTGAATTATAACCTCCCCGATACACAAGTCTTGATCGAATTGAATTTTTTTTTTTTTACTCGGGATGAAACCGGAGCCCTCAAGGGCCGGTGAAACAAGGCAGATCATGGCATTTTGGTTGGTCCGGTTAGCCCCTATGCAGACGCACGACAGGAGTCGAGCTAACGCAGGAACAGAGTACTTGCTGCGATGTGGTGTACGCACCACCTGAGCTTGTATAGTGTTCCGACGGAATAGTCAAGGTAGAAGTTGGCAGGAAGAAGCCACGCCGGAGCTCCCTGAGGGTAATAAATCTTCGGAACGAGTCACACATACGTTAGCGTCGGGCGTCAATGGGGGAACTGTGCTGGGCGACGCGACTGCTTTGGGGGCCTCTTGTGCCTTGTCGAATCCGTTAGGTTGGATGCCAATGTGGATGGCGTCGGGGGGCTTTGTGGAATCGGTTCCAGGGTCACAAGAGCTACGGACTCAACCCGCCACGGAAGGCGGATCGGGAGAGTCCAATTGGCAATAATAATACTGAAGTACGAGGTTGTGTTCTTCCCGCCATGATCTGAGCTGTTTGATGAAATAACCCCATGAATATAATCCGGAGAGGGCAATCGAAGGGAGGGATAAGAATAATGACAGCGTGGTGTCCATCGTTGATCAAAAACGACTAATCCGTAGAATGTAAATCGTTGCAGATCCATGTCCTTGCCTTGATCTCAGATCCAGTAAAGGAGGAGTACAGAGAAAAATGAATTACACTCGTTGACGTCAAGTGATGGTTGCGCATCCCTTCCCCTGTCTTCATCCATGAATGCTCTCACCCTGGGGTTTTGAGCGAAAAAGATTGCCCCGATAAACTCCATTCGTCCAGCGCACTGTGCCCGGGTCTCGCAAGTTCCGCCAAGTTTCCCCAGACGCGATGCGCGATATTCAGGTTTGAGTTCTTAGAGAAAGCCGAACAGAAAGGGGGTCACATGGATTGAAGCCAAGCAGGCGGCCCAATCATCGAGTCATCGAAGTCATTTTGGGCTTGCAAACTGTCGCCATGACGGGAGCTATATCAGAACTATTTTCCCAAGAGACAGGGTGAACGGTGCATTTCCCGTGTGAAGGATGTGTGCCCGATGCATCTCCGTCTCTCGAGAGATCCCCTCTCGACAACCCATAACATCCTCGAAGTCCAAGATCGTACGTGCAAGCATTCGACCAGGATGCCAGGCAGACAGGGAATAGTTTCCGATGAACCCTGCCCGCCCGCGATTTTAAGAGCCCCATTATCTGGCACTTGGTGGCCGGGGTCCCTGTTGACAAATATCAGACACAACGCTCCGTACATCGATGATGAAGCTGGATTACGGGTGCATGAGCGGAGCACAATACAGCGTAAGCCTTGGTGCTCCGGAGCAGCCTGCCGTAAGAGCTCCCAGCCTGTATCCTTGGAAATCCAGACAGGCTTAGGCTTATCTCCAGCCTCCAAGCGCATGGAGCCCCGTAGATCGACACCGAAGAGGCTTTTTGACCGGCGAAAGACCTGGTTGGAAGCGGCCTGTATTTTTGTATTTTATTCCCTGGCCGCCAGGAGGCGATATTTCCGCAATTCTGTCGCTGTGTACTCCGTACTCTGTATGTACAGTACCGTAACTGATTCTTTACAAAGAGCCGCCCCAGGTGGCCTGGCTGGTACCAAATTGTCTCTGTTGGTTGCACACAACCCTATGTACGCTGCGTACGTACCTGGCCTGGGCTGTGATACCGTCACGTACGGCCCGTTCCCCCATACGGGGCTCATACGGGCGGGTCAGGGCTACCAGGTACCTTGCAGCGCCAGCTTGGCCCCAGGTACGGGGTACGGGGGCAAGTACCGTACCTGAACCAGGAAACCTGGTCCTTGTGCCTGTACCTGTACCGTACCGCGCCATCGTTCCCCTCCCGTGGCTCCGTCTGGCTGACTTTTTGGCTCTTGCTCTCTCTCATCGAACGACAAACCTCTTCTCTATCCCACACTTGTCTCATCTCAGTCTTTTCTTCTTTCTTTATCTGTCTGTCTCTCCTTCGTCTCTCTGTCTCTGTCTCTCTGTCTGTCATTAATTCGTTTTCTTCTGTCTCTTCTTCTGTCGCTCTTTTACTGTTTTAATCCTGGCCCCTCGCCTCGTCACTCATTGCCTGACCCGGACCCGACGTCTCACATCCAACCCTTTTGTCACTCCTTCGTAACAACGATATATTTCCTGTCCACCGCACCACTACATTCCTTTCACCACCACATACCTTTGGAATATCACACACCTCAGATGAGATAGGCTTCCTTCCACGGCTGCCTGCAGTGCAGCAATCCCAACTCTCTCTTTAGTCCCACCTGCGATCACATTCGTCTGCTCTCTATGCACACCTTTGAACATCATGAGCTACCTCCATCATCCGTTTCCTTTTAGCGGGCATCATGCAATCCCCGTGGATCAGCCCTTTGACTATAGAGTCCCAATCCGGCACCCTCAATTAAGCCACCCTGTAGATACTTATCTGCTCCCTAACGCCCCCATCGATCTCGCGGAATATTACCACCAAGCTGCTGCACTGGAAGACTTCGAGGAATACAAGGAAAATCTATCCCGCCCACGATTAACAAAGGATCAGGTCGATACCCTTGAAGCCCAGTTTCAGGCCCATCCGAAACCAAATAGCAATATCAAGCGCCAATTAGCTGCACAGACAAATCTCACTTTACCAAGAGTTGCTGTATGGAAAAATACTCCTACCACGTTTGTTTTTTATTTGTTTTTTTAAAAAAAAAAAAAAAAAACAATCCATTCGGTTATTGGAAGAGAGATTGCTAACTGTGAACGTCATGTAGAATTGGTTCCAAAACCGGCGGGCAAAAGCAAAGCAACAGAAAAGGCAGGAGGAATTCGAGAGAATGCAGGCGAGTGAAAACGGCGAACAGTGGAAAAATAACGACACCAAGCAGAAGGAAGGGGCCTCAAAAGAACAATCGGAGCGCCTGGAGTCATCCGCGACCCCTACCCAACAGCCAGATCCTAGTTCGTCTTCTCTGAATCCCAGCGAAGTGGAAAAGGAAAAGCAACAGCAAGCATCCAATTCCATCAGCAAGCCCGGACTCCCTGAGCCGCCCCAGAAAGCCATGAAGGCAACTATGCCTGTTAGCGCCCAATTCAGTCAGCCTGAGGAGGAAAACGTCCCAAGGCACGGGCCCTCGGATATCAAATATCATTTTCCTCAGTCTTCTCTGGGGAACGATGATTGTGGCACATTCGCTTCTAACCTGTGCGGATGGAACGGAATTGAAGATAATCATGCCATTTGGTGTTCATCGCAAGACATAGAAGATAATATTGTTTTTCCTCATTTAAATAAACCCCATGGCAACCCGCTCGAAATCTGCGTTTCCGAGAGCCAGCAATTTCCCTGCATCCAGTTCAACCACGAGCCCGGTGAATGGGAATGCCATAGTATGCCGCATTTGATGAGGAAACAACGAAATAGTAGCCAGGATCTAAGCGAGGGCTTCCACCCAATACCGTTCCACGCACTGCAGTCTCCGCTTTATCCGGATGAACACCGGCGAGGTTCGAGCTCCTCAGAACAATCTGAGCTCGCGGACACTCTATTCCACACTGAAATAAACAGCATGATTGAAACATCTCCTCAAAATACTCCCCATTTGAACATGGCACAGTTGCGTCATCAAGTCGATCCAACTACCAATTGGCGGCATCCCGAGAAAGAAGTTGATATTGCCGCTCGACGAAAGCGACCTCGACCGGCTGCTATCGGAACCCCAGCCATGTCACTTTCATACGGACCCTCCTCCGTATCTCCAACCACTAGGATTCAAGGTATGGGTGCCGCCCATGTCCTTAGACATGCGAAATCCACCCAAAACTTGAGTCCTAATCGATACCCAGGAATTCGAAAAGCTTCCGTTGCCCAACGCTCCCCTCTAGGTATAACAAGCTTTGGAGAAACCAGCCGTTTTAATTGTGCCAATACCGCAGACTTGATGTCAACCTTACCTGGTCTGATAACAACCTCCTTGGCTCCGCCAACTCCCTTAACACCAGAGGATCTCCAAACCCTTCTTCCGCCAACCCCGAATGACAGCCAATACTGCGTCTCTCCCACGGACGATATGGGATGTGCAAGGCTTTTCCCCATGTCCCAACCTGTGCAAGTGCACATCGAATCCCCTCCCACGACCCCGCTACATTTGGGAGTTCAATCGCACCTGCAATTTCAGTCCATGGGCGTCCCGATGTCTACGCCCTCACAGCATACGCCGTTTCAGGAGTACCAGCTCTCTATCCCAACCAATCCGATGAGTGGTGGCCACTGGCCTGATGCGTCGTCAATGTCATCTCCAGAAACTTCCCATTTGCAGCAGCCAACAATCCATATGCCTCAGCCAACGCATATCTCCCCCATTACCTATGGGGAGTCTTTGGATTCTGGAAACCCTGCCCTCGTTGAGGACATGATGACAGGCCAACGCGAATCGCCTCACTGCGCTGTTAAAAATTGCAACACACCGACCGCATCGTCGCCGCAAGGTTCCTCCCCAGGCTCACGGAGAGTGACCGAATTTCTGATCCAAGAATTCCCAGAACAACAGGAAGCACACAGGCGGGCTGCGGAACAGCTCCCCCCTCAGAAGCCCATGAACTATACGTTCTCCAACCACACGCCCAATGATTTCTAGCATCATCATTTCCTTGTCTAGAATTGTGGTTAGCTTTCTGAATATTAAGTACCCTCAAGCCATTCACATCTGATCGCTTGGTCAGCTCCTGCTTTTACGATTTCTACTATAAACTTCACGTTCATACATGATCTTTAATATCTTTTAATCTCCCCTCGCTTGGCCTGGTTTTACTACCATCACACGCTACCAAGCCCTCTTAATATTGCTATATCCAATCTTACTTGACTATTTGGAAACGTCACGCACTTTATACTATTACACTGCCATTAATACTACTAATTCTAATAACTATGAGAGGCGACCTGCCTCAGGCCCGTTTCTTCCTAATTGTCGTTCTTTCCCCATTACCATATACATATCATTCCCCCATCTCTTCCTGTCTATCTCTCCTTTGTTTCATTTTGTCGCTACGGAACACTCTTTTGGTTTGTAAATGACATGCGGAAATGGAAATTTTGGTGGTATCCCCTGGCCTTTTTCTTGCTCATTTAATTTTTTTTCTCTTTTTTTGTTCACCAAGCATATGTCTTTGGTAATAATCATTTTTAATCCTCTGCCTACTTAATTTTCTCTTTCTTTCCACGCTCATGCTTCACATTTTCCATTCCATTCTTCCTGTCTCTTTTTCCTCTTTATTTTTCCTTCTTCCCTTCAAAGCCTAGTCTTTGCCCCTTTTTTTTCACTTCTAGATCCTCACCATTTTTAATGCTTTACTGCATGTTTAATTCCCCTTCAATAATTTTTTTTTAATATTAATAATATCTAGTACGTTACTATTTTTCTATTTCTTCTCTGTTAGCTGCTGTTGCTGCTGCCCTTCTTCATCACTCATCTCTGATCTTTTCTCCTCTTTCACTTCTGGAAAAAAACATCTTGGTTATTCTTTCTTTTATAATATCCCACATGTATTTTTGTTCTTGTTCATGGTTGTATTGCTTCGTTGCTTTCTTCTTACTAGCTTTTTATTTCATGTGTTTGTTTATTTATTTTGTTTTCTTCCTTTCTTCTGTCTTTTCTTGAGGTTTCAGTCTGCTCTATGATATACACGTCTTATAACATCTCAGCCACTTCATTTGCTTATATACATACAATCAGTTTCCGCTTATAAGCTCTGCAATAATATTTACTGTTAATCTAATAGAATTGGTATGTATATATATGCCTTTGAAGTCTTTAAGTGAAAGAATATAATACTACACAAACTGTGCTCTTGTTATTAACAACACATAAATTCTACTCCGTATGCTTTACTCCATTCTGGCAATATTTTAAATTAGAAGAAAATGGATCAAATTCGGTTCAATGAATCAATCAAAAAAACTTAGTTGATATAAGTAATAATTCAAATGCATAAGTTAGCTGGAAAACGGATTTTTGTTATATTTGAAGGAAAAGAAAAGAGAAGAGAAGAAAAACAAACATATATAAAAAGAAAGTTTAAAAAAAAAAGAGAGAAGACGAAGGCGAGGAAGGTTGAGATGAAATATATAAATAGATAGATAATAAACAACAAAACAGACATGAAAGAATATAAATGCAGATGAATACAAACTATGCCAGAAAGACAGAATGGGAAACATGAAGAGAAAAAAAAAAAAAAAAAAGGAAAAAAAAAATAGAGGATAGACATCTAATAACATGAGTTAAAAAACCTCACATCAACAAACAAATGTATATATAGTGAGTACCTGAAATAAGCAATTGTGATATAAAACTATAATAGAAGAGAGAAGAGAAGAGGGAAAAACGACGATTAAATAATACTAAACATTGAAAGATGCAGATGAAGTAGATTGCAAGTGAAAGCAATGATTATAAGGGATAAATCTCACACTTCTTTGATTGGCTTAAAAGAAAGAAGGAAAAGGATGGAGGGAGGAAGAATAGAAAATACATACAATTTAAAAATGAGAGGGAAGGAACGTGTTTCTGAATTAAGAGATTCAATAAATAAATGGGGGGAACTGGTGGGTATGAAGAGGAAATTCATAGAGAAAGGTATTTTTTAACACAAAAGTATAAATAGACAATATATTGAATAAATAATGGTATTAAGTAACAACAAGAAAGGGAAACATTGAATAGAGAGGTATATAGAAGAGTAGGCAGGCAAACAGTTACGAGGGCGAATAGATCAAGATGGCTAGTTGCAGCGAAAAATAGCAGGTTAATGATCATCTATACTCGGTAACAATTATTGTGTTAGACGTCAATTTAAAGCCCAGGCTAAATAAAGAATAGCCAATTTTTTTTAAAACAAAAGATAAAAGGTTTCTCGGAAGGGGAATATGAAGCCATGAACAGGAGGGGAAAATGAAAAAGACAAAAGAGAAGCAAAGGGGAGGGGAAAAAAACAAAATGCAGGCCATGAGTGAAGAGGAGTAGTCAAGACGAGCGAAAAAAAGAATACAATGCAAGCGACGAGAAGCGTTTTCCTTGTTGCTTTTCAAAGTTTCCTATCCCACCAGTCACATCACAGCTTCCTCAATACGTTGATGGCCAGCCGCTCTGCCCTGAACCCGGTTGTGGCTGGCCACCGGGTTGCAGCGATCCTCCGGTGGTGGTGCTGGGCCATCCTGGTATGGAAGCGCTGGTACCCATGCTCATACTCATTGCCGATGGTTGTTGATGAGGCGCGGACATGTATTGTTGTGAGCCAGCCATGCCATGCGACGATGGGTATATAGCGCGCGCAGCAGCCATGTTGGAATACGCAGCTGCTGAAACACCCGGATAACTCATCGCGGCAAAATTCTGTTGCTGTTGCTGTTGCTGCTGCTGCTGCTGGTGGGACGGGGACTGTGCGTGAAGCTGTGATGGTGGAACACGATGTTGATGGCGTGGAGACTGAGAAGGATGTAGTGGTTGTGTGTTTTGAAGATGTGGGGAAGGGGATTGTTGTTGTTGTTGTTGTTGTTGTTGTGGGTGCATCTGTGGAACGTATTGTGACATTCCAATCGAGTGGGAAGTAGACAGAGGAGATGGCTGTGGCTGGGGAGGTGGCTGGCCCCAGAGTTGTGGATTTTGAGAGTAAGGATATGGTGAAGATTGACTTGGGCTTGGAGAAGCAAGAGAGATGCTAGATGAGCGATGCTGAAGCTGATCAGGGCGCATTCCCTGGGGAATTCCTCGCAGCGGAGATTGGGATATGGAGGTCTGTTGATGGGAAGGCTGAGAGTAGGATTGTTGAGGAGTCATCATTTGTGTGTGAGGTAGAACGTTTGGGTGCTGGTTCGCATTGATGATACCAGATGTCATTTGTGGTGATTGGAGGGACTGAGGCACACCCAGAGTCTGCTCGACCTGGACAACTGGCGATTGACTCGGAACGGGAGTTTCACGCTTCTTATTCCAGTGTTCTTCAAGTCCTTTCGCACGATATCCACGCTGCTGATTTAAAATCTTGCTAAAATCAGCAGTATGAGACGCCTGGTTCATTATTTCTGCACCACTGCTAGGTTGGGTACGATCGTGGAATGGTTGCCCTGTGGGCTCCTGTCTACGTCGCGGTATGGAGTTGAACTCTCTCAGCCGAGGGTCATCCGCTGGCGCCAAGTGGATCATGGGAAGAGGAGTTAGACTCGCTGGATGGGGAGGCATGTCGGGCGGGATGCCGTCGATACGTGGGCCGTTACTATATATGATATCGCTTTGACCCAGATTTGGTATCAATCCTGCATTTGCGGCTTCAGCAGCTGCTGCATCCCTGGCCTTGGCAGCTCCTGGTCTTTTCTCACCCGCCATATCATCTTCAGTAAAGCCTTGCTTTCGCGCCTTGCTCTCCCAGTAATCATCGCGAACGCGGCGTCCCTCGAGAATTACCCTGCTGCCAAATTGCCGAAACATGGATCTCGCCGTCACAATCGCGATCTGCCGAGAGCGATAGGAGTACGGCAAAATGTCCTGCTGGATCAAGGAATCCTTCTCTGCTTGGCTCGCAATGATTTTATAAAGAGATCTATTCTTGTTAAAGAGGAGATAAGAGTCTCGATATCCCAGAACTCTAGCACATTCCGTGGCCAGCATGAAGAGTTTTTTGCCGCGGTTTGGGACACAAAAGGTCCTGCATTTATACTTGCGTTTGTCCTGTGGGTATCCCAGCGCATCGACTTTCTTCTCGCCATTCTCGTCAAATTCTTTCGGGATATATTCATCTCCTTCTTCCCCTAGTTGGTCGGTGGTGTGGTCTCTGACGGTAGGTAGTGCCTTGACTAGCGACTTTGTGGGAGTGGTTTTTGCTGGCGGAGACGTCTGTGCGGGGGTCGCGGTATTCTGTGGGATGGGTTGCGGAGGGAGTTGAGAAATCTGTGTTTGGGAAGGGGATGATTTCGGCCTTTGCGCTGCTGGGGTGGGAGCAAGGTTTGTTGATGACGAGGCTTTCGGCGTCTTGGGCGGCCGGCCTCGTTTGCGACGGCCATGATCATCCGGTACTGTATAAATGAAGTGAGATATGGGAAGAGGACTGGAAGCTACATAGGTTGGGATGCCAGAAAAGAAATGGCGGAAACATACCATCCTCTACTTCGCCTTCTGCGGGCTGATCGCCATAATGTTCCGTTGGCCTACTTCGTTTTGTGCCTCTTGGGCTTGCGCTAGGGTGGACACTGGAGGTTGTGATTGTGGAAGGATCGGAAAGACCAGATTGCGAAACAGTAGCTGATATATGGGAGTTAGCATTATATTAAGAATAATCTTGTCACAGTGCTGAACACGGAATCAAGAACATCGAAGGTTGAAATGGGAAAAAATAAAAAATAAAATAAAAAATAAAATAAAAAAAAATAAAATTTTATTTTGTGGGGGGGAGAGGGGAGGATTCAGCCAAAGCGACTAGATATCCGCGACCAAAGAGCGAATCGACAGGGCCAAGGGAGAATGAGAAGAAAGAGAAAATCGCGACCAGCGAAGGGAGGTTATTACCAGGCGTGTTCAAAGCAGCAGGGTTGATGGTGCCGGAACCATCGATCAGATCGGAACCCATGCCGTTCATCGGGGTGGAAACGGGATGTTGAGCGGTATACATGTCTGCTCAGTTGGAGGAGAGGAGATGGAGCAGGCCAGCCAAAGGATCGACGGAGTTAGAAAAAGAGCTGGATCGTTCCCTCGAGGCGCGACAATATCGGCTGAACCAGACAACCGCGAGGCCCGAGGTTTCTGAGCGGTGGAGACTTGAAACGACGAATGGAGTGAGGGACGCTGGACGGGTTTGGGGGAAAATGCGACGAAAGGAGCGATGTGTAAGCAGGGAACGGCAGCTAAGGCCAGTGAAGAATCCAGTTGCGATGTGAGGCGTGAAAATGAGGCCAGTGGGATAGAGCCTGGGTGGCTGGTGATGGGTTGGCGACGCACACGATGCGACTCGGGTGGAGAAGACCCTTCCTCAACGGTGCGATGAGGTTGCAGAGGAGAGCTGCACTGAGCTGCGCGCACAGGCGGCGACAGAGGAACCCAGGCAGCCGATTTTAGCGGGCGCGAATATCGCGTTTAGCAGCGGATTCGCTTGGCCGGGCACGGAGGCGAAGAACGAGGGGGCCACATGTGCGGGAGCTGGCGATGAGAGGACGCCGGGGGGTGGGATGGGGTATTCTGGTGATGGGCGATGGGCGATGGGCGAACTGCGGATGGAGGCGACAGACGAGGGAGGTTTGAGGTCGACGAAGCCGAGCAGCGCCCAGTCGATGCGGATGGGAAAAACGATGACGATAGAGGTAAACGACGTATGGTACGGAGGTAACAGAGGTAACAGAGGTAACAGTAAGGAACAGGCAAGGTAAGCGGATGACAGGACACTCTGGTGCGCTGGGGGCGTACGATCGGGGTATGGGAACGGTACAGGTACGGTCAGCGTAAGTTTACGGCACGGTACGCGGGCAAGGTACGGTCAGCTGAGCTTAGTCAGTGGCCGTGGTGCGGCTCTGCTGGGTCTGAGTCAGCACAGCTCGCAGAAGCCCTAGTTCCGGCCCAGTTCGGAAGGAGGTGAGGGTTAGGGCACGGGGCACGGGGCACGGGGCACAGGGAAGAGCAAGAGGAGGTTTATAAGGTGAGATGGACCTGGTGAGGTTATAAGGGGACGATAATAAACAATATAAGTAACATGTATACACGGGGCAGAGTGGCATCCTTCTTTCCTTCTTTCGTCTTCTTTCAGTGGGCTTCTCCTGTTTTCCTGAGCTTCCTCTGTCAAGGTCTTCCGCTTCCCTTTCTCGTCTTAGCGCCTTGATCGGACTGCTTGAGGAGTGGATATTACGCAGGAGTTTTCGGTTTTCTGGTTAGTTAGGACCCTCTGCCTCGCCTCAGGAGTGCAGCGCTCGGAATCGGCAGAACAATCCGAATCGAGTAGGGCGGCGGCGGAAAGGCAAAAACCTTGGAAAAATGGAAATCAAGTCGCCAGCTTCACCGTTGATAGGCTAGGAAGCGGTGAGCGGGTTGGAAGAGGGAGGAACGGGAGTTTGTATGGGGGAAACGGAAGGAGGGAATGGGCCCTGCACGGTGCAAATCGAAAATCTGGGGACGAGAAGAGAATTCAAGTCGACGGTGGTTGATTGGCCTGGGGTCACTGGGTGCTGGCTGCTGGCTGCTGGCTGCTGGCTGGGATTGGGGCGAGCAAGGTCGGGTTGCTGGGTCTTGCGGCGGGCGCCACAAGGCGAGGACAGGCCAAGTCTGGGTTGGAGTTCCAAGGAACAAGAGCAGTGGGAAGCCAGGCGGGGGAGCAGGGAAACAAGGAGGACTGGAGCAGGAGGACGCCGGGGGAAGGTTAGTTAGTACGAGGAGGCACAGGGCAAAGCTCACAGCCACAAGGAGGGGTTGAGCAGTAGTTGAGAAAGGCGCTCACGGACGAGTAGATATCGAGGAACCAGGAGGGGGACGCCGTGCTTTAACTGGCTGGCCGGCAGGGTATTGGGACAGTGGGTTAAACTTCAGTGCGTTTTGTTGCTTTTTTTTTCTTGTTCTCTCTGGTTCTCTTGTTGTTCTCTGCTTCCCAACACACACACACGGACACACACACACAAGCTACGGTGATCTCTTGCGTCGAAGTACTAGCAATAAGAATGGCAATCAGGAAACAAAGGCAAAGGCCACTTCGACTCGAGAGTTTAATTTTCCTCGAGACCTTGGATTGTACCAACGAAACGGCGGCCTTTATCTACCCTGATTGGAGAATCCCGACGCAGCTAACTTCGGGTTCGAAGTTCAGTTCTAACGGGATTGACGGAAGGGGGAAAGTCAACGAAGAACAGATTTGTCAGATGATTCTTTTTTTTTTCAATTATTTTACTTTTTTGGTTGTGTTTAGGCCGACACATATGACAGGGTTTTGGGGAGTCTCATGTCAAAAAAAGCCCTCCCAGAGAACGAGGAATTTCTACTCTCTCTTCACGGACAAAACCACCGACGGAAATGCGCTGCACCATCTACAAACACCATGGACCTCCCAAAAGTTTTTTCCTTTCGGAACTTGCTGGTTTCCGACGGTTGGATATTTTTCTTTTTTCCTTTTCCTTTCTTTTTCCCCCCTCCAACTCGCACTGCACTTTGTCCCTTTGGCTGGGATGGACAGAATAGGCAAGAAACACACCACCCCTTAGTCCGCATCCTGCACTGTCCTATCAGCGATCGCCGGCTTGATTCACCATGCATGAAGATTTCCCCGATGCGAGGTGAAAATGGCCGATGAATGGCACTGCCGCTATTGCTCGGCTATGATTCGACGCGCATAGTTTGCCAGCGGCTTGGCCTTGGGGGATCAGGGAGGAAAAGGGTGATGGGTGTGGAGCGGCGCGAGGAGGCGGTGCGCGCATTGTCTGCACATGCCCATCAAGGGCTCTTTATCTCCTTCGCTTGTCCTACTCGGCACGGCAAGGCCTGTTTCCCCAGTCATACTTGCATTCATGTACGGAGTACATGTACCGTACATACATACATGTATGTACAAGCACCAGCGCACGGTTAGGCGCTGGGGATCGTTAATCACTCCAACGAGTGCAACGCTCCACCCGACAGGGAAGGATATGCTTTGGTGCGCGGCATGAAGACGGAATATATCCCTGTTCCTTTGCGTTTGCGCAATCAGTTTATCGGTATAGATTACAGGGTTGACAGGAAACGAGAAAACCAAAAGAAACGAAGCCCTGGTTGGTGTTCCCTTCAGCCTCTGCAAGATTGCATGCACAAAGGGCGAAAGAATACATCATTGTGCACCACCCCGTAACCCCCAAAAATTGATATTTTGGTACTGGAAAATGTACTTTCTAGTGACAGCCACAGCCGGAGAGAACAGGTTTCGCCCTTTACTTCGTTTCGGATGTACTGACCCTACAGACATAATTATTTCTGTGTTGAGTGTTAGTCCTCCAACCTGCTCTCCCCAGTAAGTGATGCAGGGAAATTAGAGCTCTTCCCCCTCCCACCCAATCACAGCACGATCGCATTCAACTCCATCTCTTGCAAGTTGCCTCCCCAGAAACTTGCGCCGTGCAGATTTATGCCGTCGCGTTCCATGCCTTGCTGGACAAAGTTCATGAAGCTCCATATCGCTTCTTCAGGATCCCAAGACAATAGATTCCAAACTCGCCCCTTGCGACAAGATTTTCCCCCGTGTTTTGAAAACAAGGGGCTTCATAACCGAACCACCAAACTGCAACTTAGCAAGATAAAAAGACACTTGGCTTTCGCTGAGTTACCCCGCAAAAAAAGAAAAGAAAAAAGGAAAAAGGAAACCACCACACACGAACGCCTCGCCGAACTCCCTCAGCATTCCATCCCCGTCAAAGCCCACTAAGTATACCCCTAGGAAACGCCTCAAATGCTGATCGAAACAAGATTGGGTGCGACCTCCGTAGATTGCACGCCCTGGTCCTTCCTGAAGTCATGGAGCTTGCGATCTTCCCGCTTTCACCATTTGCTTTGGTATTTGGTTTTCGGTTTTCATCCCTTCTATCTGTCTTCTGATTTTTTGCGGCGATGCTTTCTCCGTCTGAGAACCTCCACTCTGGAACTCGAGCAAAGTGCTTATTGTTTGCTATTCTTCCTCACCTTTTTCAACCCCTTCCTTCACCTAATTTTTTGGTAAGTTAACGAAACTATGGTTATCAACAACCAAAAGGAAAAAAAAAAAAAAAAAAAGCAACAAACTCGCGGGGATTTTTCCTTTTTCTTTCCCCCTCCCCTTGACTTCCACCTTTAAAAACCGGGCTGGGGTGTGTGGGTGCCTGGAACCAGCGAGCGATGTGTACCAAGCCCACTGAGTCCCGTTTCCCTTCAACGGAGAAGAAGTGGGTTGGCTGGATGGGATCGCCCGCCGTGGACCCCATCGCTCCAGTCTTCCCTTGAGGTCCCTGATTTGGCTAGCTGAGGTGAGCTTGGATGCCGAGATCCTGTGTAAATTTGGAGAGAGTGGCAAAAAGGGGAGATGGAAAAATAATTCAAAAAAAAAAAAAAATAAAAATAAAAATAAAAATAAAAATAAAAATAAAAATAAAAAATAACATGGAGAAAGAATGATTTTGATATTCATATTCGTTCAGGCTGCGGCCCAACAAGTGCAAGTTCCCAGCTGCTCATCGAGGTTTCGTTTCGTTTTCGAATCCGGATTTTTTTTTTTTTTTTTTTTTTTTTTAATTCTATTTTATATTTCTATCTATACATATATGCCGGAGATATGAGTTTTTGCGCGGAGTAAGAGTTTCCCCTTCCCCAGTTCATCCGATCTTCGATCTATGGACGCAGTATTGTACTGTACCTGTCTGTACGCTAGAGCCCATTTTTACACGCGGCCATCACCACGATCACACAAACCGGAGGTAGAGGTAGCACAAGGGGGAGGGAGCTTGAGGTGGAGACGGGGGGAAGGGGGAACTGGCCGGTCGCCGGCTAGCGTGCGAGCTCCTTTCTTTCTGCTCTTCCTAATAAAAATCTCGTTCAGTTTACCGTTCTTCGTTACTGCGGCGTTGGTGATACTGGTTTAGCCATGCATCGCGCCGAGGAGTAGGGGTTTTTTTTTTTTTTTTTTTTTTGTCTGAGATCGGGAGCGTGCGGAGCGGGCATGGTAGTGGGTAGTTGGTAGTTGGTAAGTCTTGAAGGGATCCTACTTCCTCCCTGCTCGGGTAGTTCCAGGTGAGTTGAAGGGAGCACAGGTATATAGTTAGAGAAGAAAAGCTGCGGCTGTATACATGTTGCACAGTACTAGTACGTATGTGCCAGTGGCCCGTGGGGCACGAACTATCTGCGAATCGCCCTTCTCTGTGTGTACACAATGGTAGAGCAACAGGAAAATGGAGTATAGGAGCGTGTCGCCTGTCACTACATTCGATTCATGTAGGTACAGAGTGACATGAGGAAGTAGAGCAGGGGAGGGTTCGATGTTGACCATGCATGTACGCAAGGGAGATAACTAATAGCAGTTATCGTTACAGGTTCCCGAGGGGTTTGAGGATCTCATTCGATGGGATTTACTTCCTGAAGAAGTTGAAGAAGTTGATGGAGGCAGCTAGCTACCTTCTCCGTTTCCACGGATCCTTTGCTGAGATAGGAAATTGTCGTTTGATATTTTTGTCCTGCTCAAGAGAAACAAGAGAAGAGCGCAAAGGTAGTAATCGTCGTAGTTAATCCCACCAAACAAAGCATAACTAACTCAACCCGCATCCGCCAGCCTTAAAATCTCCATGCCCCACCCCGAAACTTATACTCATCTGACCATTGCGTCAACGGCTCTATTACCCCATTCGGGCGGGGGAGGGGCCCCATTTTCTTTTCAGAGCACAAAAGCCTCGGAGATCCGAACGAACTCCCTGCGGATTTGACAATTTCTACCTTATTTGACTGGCTATATAGCACTTTCTGGTGTTATTGAAGTTTGAGGAGAGCCAAAAAAAAAAAAATAAATAAATAAATAAATAAATAAATAAAAATAAAAAATAAATAAATAAATAAATAAAGAAAAAAATAAAGAAAAGAAACATCGCCTCTCCTGGACGTGCGCGATGCTACCGGGTTCTACTCTGTATGCAGGAGTAGATAAGACAGTTTGACGGCTGGGGAACTAGCTATCTATCCATGGATATCCAGTCGTGTAATATGTGCGCCGTGCATGTGCTTGAAGAAAGTTTATTTATTGTGAATCTACGGAGTATTCTTTGGACATTTAATTTCTCTTTGTCTCTATGTTGTTGACAGAACTTGTGTTCCTACATGATGCAGTGACAGGTAGCCTAGACACTTTTTTTGCCTGGCAAGGTGACGAGCTAGCTAAGATTTTTCCCACAAGGATGGGAGAACGTTTGTTTGGATGGGGGGGCTGGCTTGTTAAAAAGACAAATTATTGCCGGGGTTGATGTGCATATTTAAAGCCACCACTAGTTATAACTACCGAATTTATCATTTCGCACTTGCGTTCAGTTTTTGCGTCGTCGGCTCTTCAATCCCCCCGACCTTCAAAATGTACCGTACCGATAGCTATCATGGCATTGCGATTTCCGTGGAAAATAACTGAAGAATGCAGGGACCTTCCCTGCAAATCCTTCCGGCTCGTGCTCCCTGAGTCATAAGTTCAGGAGACTAAACCCGGCGAATCCGAGGGCCATGGTAAACACCTTATCCGGGGGTGGAAGTGGTTTTCCAAGTGAACAGGGGTATCAATCACATTTGACAGCTTAAATGACTCTGGGTGAGTTTCTTGAAACCTTTTTTTGGTTTTTGCACTTTGACAGTTGGTGATCAGAAACGTGGATATCTTGTAAACATCTCATCTAGTTATTCTTCTGCGGAACAAGCCACTGAACAAGGGGGGGGAGGGGAATATCCCTTTTCTGCAAGATGCATAGCTCTATGAACAGCTCTATTGAAATGTCATCCCTTCCTTTTAAAATAGATTCCTCAAAATCAGTTATATTTTACATACCCGTGGCAACTCACTTTCTCCCTCACCTTCAATTTGCTCGGCAAGATATAGACCTAGATATCTGATCAGGTGGCTTCTAGTAATGTATGCTGCCTGTGAATGGCTCCAACAACTTTTGACAGGTGGTTTTTCAGCTCCGATGGAGCTGATCATCTACCTAGACCCTAGCCAAAGATGCTGTCATGCGCGCGTAGATTGAGCGGCCTGGCCTTCTCGGAGCGGCTTCCATATTCTCCCGTCTTTTAGAACCCTCGATTTGCCGTGGAGCCTGAAGTAGCTGAAGAATGCCACGATAACCCAGAGGATGGATCGCCTTACCATTAAATCAGTCAGTCAGGTATTATTCGATTTTTTCGCGATAAATGCTACCAAAAATTTCGACAACAAATGGGAGGGCCTTGCCTATTATTTTTCACGACTGCCAGGTGCCAGATTCTGTTTAACTCCACCGATTTGCGGATGTTTCATAACGTCTCTTCTGCCGGCTGTGCGGAGTCCGTGGGATAGCGGGCCTTAAACTTCGGACGTCGGGATACGCAATGCACACCTGGTGGCATGTATGTAATGTCGGTTTGCACGTATGGGCGTTTTGTCATCCCACCTTTTTTTTCTTTTTTTTTTTCTTTTTTTTTTTTTTTTTTTTTTTGCTATGCCTCTGTGATTTGTAAAGGAGGGAGGGCAAGTTGGGAACGAATTTGCAAATTCATGCGACTGGAGGTTTATCCTGGCCAAGAAGATATCACTTGAATTCTTGCGATGGACTGCTCAACTTGGGAGCGGAGAGATCACTCAACTTTCATCTATCAAACGGAAATACTCAATTAAATAAAGAGGCTTCTTACCTCCGCGCGTTCTTATCATGTTGAAAAGGGCTATCTGAACTGCAACCCGCTATTTAAAAGTAAATTTCCTCGGTTTTCCTTGTTGTTTGGTTTTCCCTGTTGTTTTAGAGTTCTCCCACTACATCTCCACACTGAGATAAGAATAATGAGAATGACCTCAAGGAAGGTGGCTAGGAGGAGCGGAGTTCGCCTTGAACAAGGATTCATTTGAACAAGTGAAAGCGATTCTGTGTGGGAGTTTTTAACACAGCCATCCCCACGGGACGATGATGATTTTCCCACCAAGGGCACCCCCCTCTCTTATTGCACTTTTTGGCACGCTTTCCTCGAAGCTTCGTTATCAATGGGTGGCTATATTTTTCAAAGTTAGATTGTTGTTTCTCCTTACGGCAGCAGCCGCATCGTTGATCGAATTCCGATAAAAGTGAAGAAGCATGAGTGAGGCCAGAGCAAAATAAGAATCAAAAGGTGCATGCCACTCGTGCAGCAGAAAACCAATGGGAAAATTGGGAGCGACATTCCCACATCCCACACACCTAATGAAGTTTGTGAGATATATCGACTATTAGTGTGAAAAGCGACTGATGTCTTCAGCTAAGTTTTCCGCTCGAGGGGATGTGTTCGGAAAGCAAACTGTCAGAAGGAAGAGTATTCGATATCTCTACTCTTCTGCTCGCATGTATGAAGGATGCGTGCGATACGAATCAGTCGACCAGAAGACGTCGCATATCCGCGTTGAATGGGCGGGGCTGGTGGGATGTTAGCCCTCTCCCTCTCGAGAAACGCAAAAAGGAAGTAAAGAAAACATGGACGAAATGGTGGGGCCGATGTGTACGGGCACCTGGGATTTGAAGTAATATGATATCAACGTCCATTGGCGTCAAACATTCGAAGACAGAATGCATTGGGTTAGTGACCTGAATATAGGAGTGGGGGGGTATCAAACACGATGCGATGATGATTGCTGGCAGACCTATGAGAATTGCTTCCCACCCAACAGCTGGCATCCTTAGCTAGGTATCAGTTTGAGGGCCATATTCGTGGCATGACAATGCCACGAAAGCCTGAGCCCATGATTACAGTGCTTCAAACATGGCTTGAGCTGAAATCAGATTTTGTGCACCGCTCTGGGGCAAATTCTTGGTCGGTTCAAACACCACCTCACGGATGAGGCAGCCATGGAATCGAGTCAACAACCTCTTTTGATTCTGAATATTTTATTCTGGCTGGACTGGTCTTCGCCCGATCCCAACTTGCCCATGCCAACTGTCCAAATTGACAAGTTTTTTTTTTTTTTTTTTTTTTTTTTTTTAAAAAAAACAAAAATAGAATTTTCCTCGTTGCGCCTCATTTGGCTTGTCATTTGGTCATTCCCCAACGAAATCAAGTTCCAGAACGAAGCCATTCGAAGGGGATGTTGCTGTTCCATTGGTGAGTTGAAACAAAGTTAGCAGTTGGCACAAGTGCAAAACTGGCACGTTAATTCTTTCTTGCATTGACAAGGAGAAGTTCCGCTAAAGGTTTCCATGGCCAGATGTTCCAAGGAAGAACTTGTAATCACTGTTGCCAGAACTTCTATCCTTCTAAGAAAATCGACAGGATCATAGCCTGCGAAGATTTTCAGTTTCGGTATTCTTTCTGCCCTCGGTAAAGTTGAGCCATATTTTGGGGGGGAGGGTTTGTTCCTCGACCTCCCGGCAGGATTTAGAACTCGAACTGGCCCTTCTTCAGTTGCAGGATATCGATGCAATTGCGTGAAGCGAGAGAGAGAGGATTCCAGAACTTTTGGAATCCCAACGTTACGTATCTGGGAAACGTTGAATCAACTCTCCAAGGCGACCTATCATATCTGTGGATGGAAAACGAGCCCACGCTTTCTCAAGGCCCAGACAAGACTGAGAGGTCTCGCAGCCAGCCTCCACACCTTTCCACCTCCCAAGAAAAAAAAAAGAAAAAAAAGAAAAAGAAAGGAAGGGAAGAAAGAAACGCCGCCATTTGGAATGCGACCGCGCCGCAGACGCCTCCACTCTAGAGAATCCTGCTCTTCTAATTGTCACAGAGGCAAAGCATCTAGTCGCCTCATTCCATTTATCCCACCAGACCTCCCCTCTTTTCAGAATAGGGGATCAACAGTGAAACTTTTTCTGAAGGCCCGCCTTCCTGTAGGGTTTTGTCTGTTCTTCAATGTATAGATATACGCTGCGTATATCTGATAACCCTTGATAGCTGGACGCTACACATAACATGATTTGTGTAAAAGGTGTTCTCTCGCGTACGGAGAGAGTTTACAAGACCTGTCTGTAATAGTTACCTGCACTCTCTTTCCCGCTCACGTAATGGCGAATACCTTTATCAGAATCTAAAAATAATATATATACATACATAGTACAGACATGAAATGGAATGAGAACGGTCCGAAGGCTGTACAACGCTTCGGGTAAATAATACCAGGGATCAGAGCGCGATAAGGCACCAAAAAAAGAAAGAATGAAAAAGAAAAAGAATGAGAAAAAAAACGTGGCGGTGCGTGCTCCGTAGATTGATACCTTTAGTATCCTTTGAGAGAAGTAAATCCCAAGTTAAAATAAAAGGAGGGGCGGGCAGGGCGGGGAAGTTTGTTTGAAACTTCGTTCTGAAGCCGTAGAGGGCCACAGGTACCCAAGGAGCAGGGCACTCGATATACTCAACCCAATCACAGTGCGGCCAGACTTGGTGACCTGCTTATTGCTAAACCCGCGACCCAAATCCCACACCAGGTGTCTGACTCCATTGATGCAGTGGAAGGTGAACGGGAGTGCAGCAGTCGTCTTCAGCAGGACCTTCGCAGCGACGGGAAGGGTTCCAAAAGATGCCGCCATGGACGTGGAGTCAATGTGCCAACCCAACCAGGGGGAAGCAGCATATGCTGCAAAAAAGAGATAAAACGGCCCCGAAAGCAGTCCGGTGTTGCGGTGCAAGAGGGAGAGCACGGAAGTGATCTGCGGTTGGTAGATGGATATGTGCGGCGAGACGGGCCGGTTCAGGCGCTGTTTGCGAAGGAGATCATTGGGATCTGAGAGTTTCGAGGACCGGGCAGATTGCGCAATTGGGCTGTTGACGATGTATCGTTAGAAAGACCGAGCGCGCTCTGCATTGGAGTCCGAGGCTGAGTATGTTATTACGGGGTCTTCGCAAACTGACCCCGCGTGAATATGTTTTGCATGGGTAAGACTGACTGGGGCAATATAGTTTACTGAAGTCCGATCAAATGAGCTGGCTGCTGCGAGGGATTGGGCATGTATGATTAGCGGTGTCCTGATATCCATTACGTGAGTTCAACATACATCGGCGCAGCGAGTGCTGCATAATTCTTTGGGAAATCATTGCGCGCAGACTGGAGAGAGAAAGGAGTCAAGGATATGTAGAAGAGAGGTTCCGGACGAGGCTTGGACCCGAGGCTTGGACCCAGGGCCTGCAGCTGCTTGTTTACTATGGAATACTGTACAGGACGCAAATATGACAAGCATACTAGTAATTAGCGCGCGGCTGTCTCCAGAAAGTGACTTCGGATATCCGATGGGAGGAGTAAGTCTGACCTATGCCCGGCCGTCCTCATGCAAATTAGCCCTCTAGAGACGAGCTACAACGATTAGTTCAACCGGGTCAACTGATGCGCTGCACATAGCATTCCAGAGACAACTACCGTTTGATATCCCATTTGGTATAATGTGGGGAGGGATCATGGACCTTGGTTGATTCATTGGCTTCAACCATGAGTTTAGCAAGCGGGAGTGGGGCGTGAGTGGGCTTCAACCACGCATCGATCCCTCTTGGTCATTCAGGAGGGCAACCCATCTTAAGATATTTGTTTACCCGAGATGGAGCATTTAGGTAGACCCACATAATAACCAGGTACATGTTGCACAGGTGTAAAATGCAAGAACGACCGCTTCATGTGCTGTCAGCGTTGTACTCTTGCGATGTCCATAATTCCATATAGGACCAGTGCTACATACCACGAGAGAATGGCTGTGTGTTGATCCAACGGTAGGTTGGCAATTTCTGCTGACCTTGAATTGCTTCAGGTTTGACGAGCGAGATTTAGTGGTACGGACAGCTTTAGCATTTGAGTTCCTTTTGCCATGGGTCTCTCTCAAATGGCCGCCACTTTCCCCTTTGCTTCCTTTTCTTTCTCTAGGTTATCCACCGATATATATAGATATATAACTCATTCATTCATCATCTACTTTCTATGTCAACGTTATCATCATTCGGTCCAAAAGAAAGGAGAGAAGGAAGAAACCGAAGAGAAGAGAAAATGAATGAAAGCAAGAAAACGATATAAACCACAGCCACAGAAACCCAAACCAAAATATATATTCCATTCGTCTGTTCGTCTGTCGGCGGTGTACTCTAAAAGGTTCTTAGTGGTCAAGGGAGATGGGGGGGGAAAGGAAAGAAATTCGCGAACACCAAAATAATATGACAGAGTACGATTGATAGGTTAAAAAAAAAAAAAAAAAAAAAAAAAAAAAAAAATGAAGGTCACCTAGACAAACAATCCTATCACAAAAATGTCTTTTTTACCTTTGTTTTCTAAGGCAATGCAAGTTCATCATCATCATCGTAAACGTCGTCATCATTCCATCCCAACTGGTCATATATAGACTTCTCCGGCGTGGCGTCTGCTGTAACAATACCAGTATTGGCCATGGGATGGGTGCTGTGGTCGTCTCCAGGCGTAAACCCAGCAACAGCAGCAACTGTGTTCTTTATGGGTGTCGTGAAAATTATGGCACCTTGGTTGCGTTTTTCTTGGATCTCATTATGGCGGGAGAGAGATGGAGATATAATAGTTTCTGGGGGCTGGAGGTAGGAGGGACATGCTGGGCGGGGCGGCGTTTCTTGGATCGAGGAAGTTACGTTATTGATATGTATAAAGGGAAGGTGATTATTAGTATTATTATTACTGTTGGTTCCGTCGTTGGTGTTACCGCAGTGGGCAAAGTTGGGATGTGATCTCGTTTTCCGCAATGTACTCGGCGACATTTCTTGTTGCTGCATGAATGCCCTACTCGTTTCCGGAAGCTTGGGGACTTTGAAGACTTTGAATAGATTGCCGGTTTGCCTGGGGAGCGGTGTCGAATCGAAGTCATTATCAGCCGATATCCCGCTATTCGACGGGCCCGATGAGAGTCGTGTAGATGATCTTGTGGGCGTTTCGTGGATAGAGCTGTGACGGGCATGTTTGGAGCTGAAAGATTGACGTTTAGGGGGATGGCTCGGTCGCGTCGAAGACGATGGGATGAGTTGAATATCGTCAGATAAGGCGGCTGAAGGAACGAGTTTCTCATTCGATAAAGTCAGTGCCCGGCTCATGCGCGTTGAGCTGCCGACAGTAACAGTACCAAAATCCTTTCTCCTCGACCCTCTGGGGGTAGCCATAACCTGTACCCCCTGGCCCAATGGGTTTCGGACGGGATGCTTTGATTTCCTTGTGTTACACATGGACGCTCGTTTCTCTACAGTATCGGCGAAGTCTTTCGCGACGAGTTCCCTGTTGGGTTTTCTCAAGGCGTCGATGGCTGCGTCGAGTTCTTTCTTCTGCTCCAGAAGCGAATTCATACGCTTTAATTTGACTTCGTGCTGCTTAGCGACGGCGTCAAGGTCAATCTCGCGATTATCCACACGCTTTGGCTTCTGGATACCTCCACGTGCACCTGAGATCGAAGATAGCAACGGTGGTTCGCTGTTTTCACGCTTTAACCCATCTAAACTTGGGGTAGTGTTGGAACGAGAGAGCGACGGTGCCCTGCTCTTTGAAGCCATTTTTTCATCAGTCAAAACACGTTGCAGCGTGCGTTGTTGCGATTTTTGGTTGTGGGATCTTTTCACTGAGGCTCCCGGCTGTGCAGATGACCCTGATTTTGAGCGGGAAATCGCAGGCCGAGTCGGAGAAATAGCAATCAGTCCGCCCAGTTTCCGGCTGATGGTTTTACATTGGTCAGGAAGACGGCCAGCATAAAACGGAATGATGACCTCTGTACAAAAGTCACGAAGCTTGTCATTCCCTGCAGTCTTACAGGCCGACCCACTCTTGCCGCCAGCTGATGTTGTGAGTATAGTGTCGTTGAAGCTCACAGCATGCCAAATGCATAGCCTATCTACGAGCAGTTCAAGCAATGTATTTAAGTCCTGTTGTTTTCTCTCCTTTGTTCGCCTCTGGGGTTGGCTAGTCTGAGCCTCCGTCGTCGCTGGTAACACTTGGGTTGTTGTGCTGCTATATGAAGCTTCCAATGAAATTGTCTCGAGGATCAAGACAATCTGCAATTGAGTTTCTCGTAAACGTAAATCAGTGGTTAGTCGTCTTATTTCCTCTTGCCTAGATGTGTGCTGCGGAACGGATGTTTCAGACAGGTCTCTGTTTCTCCACCACCTCCTAACGAAATCGCTTTCTTCGGGATACAGTCCATTCTTTCCAAGTTTTGCTTTTTTGGCTTTCCGCGTCCTTTGTTTCATTGTATTTGCCGGGATTTCATCATCAGACATTTCTATGAGGAAATTTTGTATCGCTTCTGGAAGAGAGTCTTTATACTTGAGATCCATCTTTTTCACAGGCAGTATGCACTCCCTGTAGAAATTCGACAGGTGTGTGGGCTTCATTGACAAATTTTCATTGGAAGATTGAAAGCTAGCCCGGGCCCGAGAAAGGGGTCCCTTTGCAAAATATGCCACGGAAGTCTAGAAAGAGTGAGTAGATTGACACATATACTATTAATAAGATAAGAGGATAGTGGGACTGAAATACCTTTGAAATATATAACGCCTCCAGATACTGCGATCTGAGGTTATCAAACAGCTCCTGGGGGGTTTGAGTAACTTTCGCTTCCGCAGGTTCACACGGCCCAACGCCAATTGCCTCCTCAGACTGGGTATCGGGTTGAATATCCTCGTTAGTCATTTGCAGCAGACTGATATGAGGAGCGCCTGCTTCTGAACGGGCTGTATCCCTCCGGTCAACCTGTTCGTCATGTGCAATGGAAAATCCAGAAACAGAACTCAACCCACTCGTCTCGAGACTAAGACTGTGTGGCCCCCTTTTCCCACACAGCTTCGGTCCAAATGCAAGCGCCACTTTTTCCATAATAGCCTTCCGCGGCCGGGAATATGCAAAGAATCCAGCAGCTGGATCAGAAATCGTCGCCTTCTCCAACCAATCACCCTCTTTCTCGCCCCGACCACCACTGTAGACATTAACATCACCGACTACCTCCTCGCCCGCTCCTTTCGCAGCCGCAACCATCAAATCTCCCTCTAGTACCCAACTCCCCAGCGCAGATATGGCATATACCCCCTTCTTAACTCTCTCCACAACATACAGTTCCTCCTCTCCCTTCACCAGCACCTCCTCATCCTCTACAGCAAGCCGCACCGCTAAAACGACAGGCCCACATCTACGCTGCTGTTGCTGATGATGCAAATCCAATTCCAGGGCCGATATGTTCGCGACGAACAATCTACCAGATTGTATGCGTTTCGCAGATGCCGGACAGGGATCGAGCCATGACAATGGCAATTGAGATCTGGGGAGGAGGGCAACTGGGATCAACTTAATGTTGTCTTGTGGTAGCGGCAGTGGCAGTGATTGCGGGGTGTGATGATGGTGCTGTTTCTTAATTTTACTTATGTGAGCTTGATATTTAAGGAGTCTGTATATAATATATATATATATATATATTTTTTTTAAAAAAAAAAAAAAAAAAAAAAGGTCGCAGCACGCAGCAGGCAATTGGCCTGGAACCGGGCAGGATCTGAGGGATCGTAGAGAGGTAGTGATTCGACGGAAGGGTTGGGAAAGAGAACAAGAACAATACTTACCCGTATCGTAACCGCAGAACTAACAAAGGCCGCTCTCGTCGTCTCCGTCTTTGAAATAACGCTACATCCATCATGGGATATTTTTCTCCGTTTCAGTAATTGCGCTGTTTGTGCCTCCTCTTTTCTCTCCTTCTCCTTCGTCTTGAGCGAGTTCAATAAGGTCGGAGATGCCGGTTCAAGCACAGCAGTAGCAGCAGGGCGGGAATGCGATGATGCCATTCCAGTTTCGACGCGTCCACGTCTTGGTGGGCATAATTAGTTGTGTTATAGATGTGTATGCGTATGATTCTGTCCCTGCTTTTTATATACAGGCAATGATTAAAAGATGTAAAAAATAGATCTATTCAGGGACGGAGGAGGGATATAGTGTCGTCTGAAACTCGTATGAAGTCACGCTCCATCGCGTTCACCGTGCCGCCAGACGCGGTCACGTGGTTTTATCCGGAGCCTTCCATACCGGAAGAAACATAGACTTATTATACGACCGGATTATGGTTGTTCCATTGTGTCATTCAGCGACTGTTGTCAGCATAATGGTGGATAAGCTGTGAAATCACCATAAAGCAATCATGACCTGAAAAAAATAATCATCATATTTGACAATATCATCAATTTCTATTTATATAATTACTAATTTTAAAAATCATCTCATTTATTGATATTATTCATTATTAAAAATCATTCACATCTGTATATAATTTCTTCTGAATTTTCTAAATTAATTTTTTTTTATTATCATCATTCTTTATTATTTTCATCACAATATCAACATTCATTTCTGTGAACTTGTGAATTGATGTTGGAGTTCTTGAAGGTTCAGAGTTAAGAATCATTCATCATTTAAAAGAGAAAATTTCAGAGAGATTGAAAATCATGTATTTATTCATTTATATCATTATCAACTTCTACATCAATTTAAAAATTATTTTATCAATTCTAATTTACATTTTCACTGAAAATGTTAAGAGTTTCAGAGCTGCTCATAATCAGAGAATCAGTTGAAATTGAAAGATTAAAGAAAGAGAAAGAGAAAACAACAACAGTAGAAATATCAATAAAGAAAAAAATAAAAAGAAAATTATCATTATTATTAAATTTTTCATCATTATTCTTGAAATGATCAGTGAATTTTTTGACAAATTTCATTGTTTTATACATTTCAATGACAATACAGATAGCTTTATTATTGACATTATTTATAATACTTGTGAGATTTTCTATTGTTTTTTTTTTACTTTTTAATATAATTATTTATTATTTTCAAAATTTCTCATTGCATTGTAAATTTGATTGTTTCAGTTTTCAATATTATCTTTTCAATGATAATTTTCTTCTTCTCAATCTCTAGTTTCATTTTTTCAATATTCAGTTTAATCATCTTCATTTCAATTTTTGTCTTTTCAGCAATGTTGATTGTGATTTAAAACTTTCAGAACAATTGTAACATTCTTCATATATTAAATTTCTACTTTTTATCATTAAATTTTAACTTTTTTGATTTATTTCAGAAGAATTTTCATTGTTTTCAACGTTTATTTTTTTATAATTTCTTTGAATTGATTCAATATAGTAAGATAAAATTTGTGGATTTGAATCAATTGATCAATTTGATTTTTCAATTATTCAGAGATGATCACACAATTTTTTTTTTTTTTTTTTTCATGATTACAATTTATACAAGGTTTTAAACTTCCCTCTATCTTGTTACAAGCAGCATTCAGATGTTGAGGGAAAATATAATCAAAATAATATTCACACATCATTTATTTATTAAATAATTTTATCAAAGTATTCAGGATATTTATCTCTTTCTTCATGACTTTTATATGGCTGTATGTAGTAATTTCGGCTTATTATTCTTCCATAGCGTACACCACCCTTTATTATCAAGAATGGCATACGCTACTGCACTAGTTATTTCGTATAAGAAGGGCTGCAAAGCTTAGAAGCTTTGAATAACTCAAGAAACTTTTAAATCACATTTAATAATATATTTAAACTGAAAAGAGTATACACTTCTAAGGGTGTGATAATTCTGTCTATAATGTGAGTTGTAGTTATCATATCAGTGTGATCATCTCTATACTTTAAAGCTTGATTGTATAAATAAACAGTGAAGTTAAAACATTTCTGATTGCAACATTGATAGCAGATAACTCATTGCTATACATGAGATGAGCTGAGAGTGTAGAAAGATGGTGTAAAAATGAACAATGATTCAAAGAACCACTCTACTCACAAGTTTAAGAGGAAGTCAGTCAGTTATATGATCAAAAAAATATCAATAAAAAATCATTTACAAATAATATTTTTAAAATATAGAGAAAAGTGTACGATCAACAATAATCATTATAAACATCTTCAATCAACACTCATTCTTCATATTTAAATTAAATAAAATGCAACTGATTTCTGAAGATCTACAAGAAGCAGTATGTAGAGTAGTAGCTTTTATATTTAAGAATGACAAACTTCTCATCTACAACATTTTGTTGAAGAAGATATTGATGATGTATAACTTTTATCAAATAGAGTTCAAAGTATAAAAAAAATGTCAGTGAGTGAAAATCATTCAGTAATAAACAACAGATGCTATAAATTTTACAAATAATTTAACAAATATCAAAAATGAGTAAAATGTTTAGATGACTGATCTGCACTGAGAACTGAAATGCATACATTTCAAAGTTGAACATTCAGCAACATTCAAAATTTCATTATATAGTTTAATCAACTCTTCAAATATCAATACTTTATTTAATAACTCTGACTCAGCATATGCAGTATAGCCGGCGTTCTCTGAGAATACATTATTTATCACAAAATATATCAAATCAGACAATCTATCTAGTTCATCACATTTTGATAATGAGTGTAAGAATGACACTGCTCTCAATTAATTGAATCGAATGTATTCATTTTACTGCATAGAATGCAAACTCACAGAACAGCAATTCATTGAATTACAACAGATTTTATATACAGCATCTATTTTCAGAGAAAAATTAAATCTCTTTAAATAATAGCTGAGAAGTTGAATATAAAAGCATTTGATAAATATGAATTATTATAGAAATGAAATAATTTCATAAGATGAATTCTATATAATTTCAAAAAATTAGATATTAAAAATAAACATTACAAATGCTTTATAAAATGCAAGTAAGAAGAAGATTTTGCATCATATTACATTCATTTCAACTTGTATTATTTTGCAATAAATTAAAAACTCTCAATATTTTTCTATTTATAAATCTTCATACACAGTTTAGAGATCAATCTGTAACGGGCGTACATTGGTTAGCAATCTGGCACTATTTTAAATACAGGTTATGAATTGGTTAAGGAAAGGAAGGGGAAAAAGGTCAGGAGGAAGGGTTGTATGGAGAGGGTTTTTATAAAAAGGAAATTGAAGCAGAAGAATATCAGAAACTGCTTCACAGTGAAGTATAGAGTGGAAGAACATTGAGAGTTACACAGAAGAATTGTTAGAACTACATAAATACAAAGTATGAGAAATTACATGAGCACAGAGTGTGAGGAACTACACAGATGCGGAGTGTGAGGCAGAAGAGGTTGATTGTGTAAGTTAACCACTAACAGATACTAATTCATTATATTATCCCCTCTTATCAGAGTGAGTGATGACTCATAGATGTTGAGGGCGGCGGTGTTCTTCATGGTGGATGTGTCAGGTCAACTGCCCTGGCTTCGTAATCCTTCCACCATATAACTTGCCACGTAGCTAGCAATCCTTCAATCAAGCAAGCTTTACACCTTCCACATATTAATGGTAGAACATGTGTTGCGAGCGGTGACATGTTGACGGGCATGGAACCGTGGAATCACCGTGGAATCCCCGTAAATTAACCCTACGTTCTTCCGCTAAGATTAGCTGGTTGTATTTGGTTGCCATACACTGTACAGTCTATACTAGAAAGCCTAGGCTCCGTTCTATTGCTCAGGTGGTTTATATACTTTTTCTTAACTGTGCAAGAGTTTTCATAACTTGCTCCATCATATATTTTTTTTTTTTGACACATCTAACTATGATTTTAACGGGCAAGTATGAACATAGCACATGCGTTGTGGGTGTGGGTGTTCCAGTCAGATTACAAACAGGTACTGTTGACCTATACAACAACACAGGGGGTTACCCATTGCGATAAACCGAGAATTGACCCACCGATTCCAGTGAGGGCTTTAAAATTAAAGCAGCTCAAACCTGGACCCTAGGAAGTCATTCCACCTAGGAAAAAAGATATAGTAAATTTTGGGGAATAGATCAAAGCTGAAAAGAAAAACACAACATCGTGTCCCTGTCTCTATATCTTTGCCTGGTGGAGAAAAAGATGTTGAAGACTTTTACTCCGCAAACGCCCTTTGATGAATAAACCGTGAAAATGAAATCATTAATTGGTATCATATGTTGAATTGTTCTTCCAAAGCCTTTTTCGCAGATATGTGAGGCTCGATATGCCAAAAGTCATGCAAGATAGAATAAATCTCAACTGGAGGAGGGGAAGTAATGGACAAGGAAAAATCGTATTTTGTTTAGTCTATGTGGGCGCTTTGAGTTGTTGAAAACAAAGCAAAATCGTCGGAGTCATGATGAATCGTCCCGCTTATGCGAGAAAGAAAGTAGGTGTAAATAGCGGACATCTAGAATTTAAGGGCCTTGGGTTTCTCCCATGAAAAGTTCTGGTTGGTGAAATGGCCGTATTTAGCGGTTTGGAAGTAGATGGGCTTGGCCAAGTCGAGTTCCTGTACAATGACACCGGGTCGTAGATCGAAGTTGTTCCGGATGATTTGGACCAATTCCTCTGAAGATTTTGAGGATGTACCGTATGTTTCGACGTATATCGAGAGGGGTTCTGCAATACCAATAGCGTACGAAAGCTGGACAAGAGCGCGACGGGCGAGACCTGCGTGAACGAGCGATTTGGCGATCCATCGTGCAACGTAGGCAGCGGAACGATCGACCTTGGAATAGTCCTTGCCGGAGAAAGCACCACCGCCGTGGGCACCCCAGCCTCCATAGGTATCGACGATAATTTTCCGGCCGGTAAGGCCGGCATCACCCTGGGGCCCACCGATGATGAATAGACCTGAGGGTTGGATGTGGTAGATAGTGCGGTCGTCGAGGAGGTTCGCTGGGATGGTTTTCTTGACAATCTGCTCCAGGATCTGCTTTTTCACATCCGCCGTGCTGATGACTTCGCTGTGTTGAGCGCTTATGACGACTGTGTCTACACGCAGGGGCTTAACAGCGCCATTATCGTGAGCGTATTCGACAGTGACTTGGGTCTTGGTGTCAGGTCGGAGCCAGGGAAGAGTGCCATCAACACGGGCATCCCTCAAGGCTTTGTTAAGTTTGTGGGCTAGCTGGATTGTCAAAGGCAGTAATTCAGGAGTTTCATCAGTGGCATATCCAAACATGATACCCTGGTCGCCAGCGCCCAGTTTCTCTAGAGCCTCTTCGTAGTGGAGGCCCTGAGCGATATCTGGCGATTGTTGCTCAATGGCAACGAGGACGTTGCAGGTTTTGTAATCGAAGCCCTTAGAAGAATCATCGTAGCCGATGTCTTTGATGGCATTCCGGATAACTTTCTGGTAATCAAGGTGGGCCTTGGTGGTAATTTCACCGAAAACCATAATCATACCTGAAAAAAGAGTGTTAATTTCGACAAACACTGGTTCAGCTGACTGGTTTTAAATCAATGGAACATACCGGTTTTGGTGGCTGTTTCACAGGCGACCTGTTTGAACCATGTTAGAAAAAATTTGCCCTCATGGTTTTTCCCCGCCTAGCATGGAGGGTTAGTACCTTGGACATTGGATCCTCAGCGAGACAGGCATCGAGAACAGCATCAGAGACCTGGTCACTACGAAAGCGTCAATGCATGAATCATAAATGAAAGATGCGATAAATAGCATACTCACGCAATCTTGTCGGGGTGGCCCTCACCCACGGCTTCTGAAGTGAACAAAAAAGTTCCCTTGGGAACGCCGTTATGAATACTACCCATTGTGGAGGGGTTGGAGATAATGGAAGGTTAGGAGTAGTTAGGTAGACTAGGAAATAGAATACTTATACAACGAGGCCCGCTGTGGATAGGAAATATGAACGAGACGAAGGCCAGAAAGGGGTGAGATGGGAAAGAAGAAGAGAAAAAGCTGAAGGGAGAAGAATCCCAAATTTGGGGTCGAGTGCCAAGAAATGGTGCAATCCGCCCTATTAGGAAAGCGGTGTATCTTGGAAGAATAAACATTATTTTCTATTGTTTCTCGTTCGGCCAGCAAGAATAGTAGTAAACCAACATAGGTGCTACAACAATACTGTGAGAACTGTTCCGATGCAGAATATCAGGATAAGATACGATGTTGTCTTGTAGGGCTATATATCTGGAATTAGCATGATGATAACCTTCGTCACAGTGTCCAGCTCCTAGTCTTGCCATCGATGCCCCCATATTATCTACTCGTACCTCTCATTTTGGTATAGACACCTGCAGCAAAAAAGACGCCCTTGACAATGTCGAAATTCGGTGTCCTCGTCATGGGCCCAGCTGGCGCCGGCAAAACAACCTTTTGCACCGCTCTGATCCAACACCTCCAAACCACCCGCCGCAGCTGCTTCTATGTCAACCTCGACCCAGCCGCCGAATCCTTCTCCTACGAACCAGACCTCGACATCCGCGAACTAATAACCCTTGAAGACGTGATGGAAGAACTAGGTCTAGGTCCCAACGGTGGCCTAATGTACTGCTTCGAATTCCTGCTCCAGAACCTCGATTTCCTAACCGAGGCCCTCGACCCGCTCACTGACGAGTACCTAATCATTTTCGACATGCCAGGCCAGATCGAGTTGTACACACACGTCCCGCTACTTCCGTCTCTAATACAACATTTGTCCCGCGCGGGGCCGTTGAATATTTCGCTCTGCGCTGCTTACCTATTGGAGAGCACCTTTGTCATCGATCGCGCCAAGTTCTTCGCAGGGGCATTGAGTGCCATGTCCGCTATGATCATGTTGGAGATGCCGCATGTGAATATCCTGAGCAAGATGGACCAGGTCAAGGGGATGATTGGGAAGAAGGAGTTGAAGCGCTTCACAGCTGTAGACGTTCAATTGCTGTATGAGGAGAATGAGGGAGGAGGTGGTGGTGGTGGTGGAAGTGGGAATACATATGGAAACGAAGAAATGACAACAACTACCACAGTGGAAGACCCCACATCTACAAATTCATTATTGAGCGGTGGTTCGTTTAAGCGGCTCAATCGGGCAGTTGGTCAGCTGCTTGACGACTTCAGTATGGTGTCATTTTTGAAGTTAGATGTTCAAGATGAGGATAGCATTGGTAGTGTGTTGAGTTATATCGATGATGCGATACAATTCCACGAAGCGCAGGAACCTAGGGAGCCTGCTGATGAGCTGGAGGGGGATTTTGAGTGAGCAAGTGGGGACAGATGGCCTTGAGCAATGTCCATGCAACAGACTTTTATATGACCCTTCTGCCATTCTCCCACGTTTATGGGCCCAGGAGAGAGGCGCGTGCGGGTTTTCAGACTATCGACGGTTGAATTCGATGTGTGTTCGCATCCCAGTATCTACTTTATACGACCGCTTCTACGGAGGATATCGTTGATACTTCTAGCAACGATACCCCGAAGATATAACTTTAACATGAGGGACGAATTGAGCACCGGCAACAGTAAAAATCCCGCTAATATCAAAAACTAGCGGATTTGGCTTGGAAAAGAGCCATATGCACTATGAGTTTAATGAATCCAACAAAATCAGGTATATAATGGAATAATATGATGACACTGAATCATAGAAATCAGTCTTCGCAGCGCCCCATCAAGAATCCAAATCCAATTTCCAATAGAAGCAAAAATGAATATCTCCTCCCCACCCAAAAGGTGTGCAGGAGCGTACGAGACTAGAGAATAGACCCGAGATAGAACTCAGAACGCGCGAAAATATGCTCTGTATCTTCTCAACATGACGCGAATCATTTCATCCATGGACCAACCCAATCGCCACTTCTTCCGCCCACCGATACCCACTCCGTCAAACTGAATCCCAGCCCGTCCTCTTCTGCGCCTGAGCCCATCGCGCCCCCCCATAGATTGGCGGGACCCGTTCCCGACCGGGTCTCCGTCCCTCTCCACCGCTCGCCCACAACTCCTCCACAAACCCCTGACACAACCCCAACAACCACCCCGCCTCCCTGGCAGCCCTCTCCCACCCAACAACATACACGTAATACGCGGCCCCTACCACGGATCCCCAGAACACGAGCCGAAACACCAACATGACCCAGAACGTGATGATGCGGCGCGCATAGTCGAGGACTCTGAGCGAGATGAAGAGGATGAGGACGAGGATGAGGAAGGAGGTGAGGTCAGGTGGGGAGCTCAGGAGGGTTTGGAGCGGGGCGAGGAGGTAGGGTTGAAGATATTGTCGGGAGATGGAGTGGAGGTGTGTGGAGAAGATGGAATAGTAGGAGAGCACTTGTAGAGAGAGGGAGGAGGGGATGTATGTGTCCACATTTTGGAGGGCCGAGATTAGGTATTCTGTTTTAGATTTTTTGGGTGCATTGGTGGTTTATTGTTAGTTGTAGTTATTTGAAGAGTAGGTCCACTCAAAATGCGGGTTGTGTAGAGGAGTGTATTCCAACGCACCTTGTATCCCTTCCATGATGACAGATACGATTATGTCGTATTGGTATGTGGCGGGCTAAATAGATGTGAAAATCGAGATCGAAGCGTACTCTTATTTTTTATTTTGTTCTTCCGGATGCGCAGGCGTTTTCCAGCGCAGCCTGTTGAAATAGTGGGGGGTCAGGATCAGTTTTGCGCGTGATATATAAATACATATATGACTCCGACGGCAACTTGGTGATCCTTTCAAAACCCTTCGGAAGTATTCAAAGAACGTAATAGGCTTCGTGCGAGCGGTCCACGCAGTTTCGCAGTTGCGACCTGAAGGTAAATTCCTTAAAAATCCACCAGCGAGGGCACGGTAGAAACAGAAGCTAATGATCCTGTCAATGTGGCGATTTAACGCCAAGAAGATCTTGAGATCTGGAACGTGCTGGAAAGGAGAAGGTAGATGGCAATAGAATGAAAAGGGTATTAATTTTAACAGTTAGAGATGGCCAACATGCATCCAATGCTAGGAGGGAAAACGCGACCAGGAAGAATTGGACGCGTGCAAACAGGCAAAACGGAACAAATAAAATCCACCAAGTTCAACACCAGTGAGTAGATGAAAAGGCTAAGTTTATCATGAGCATATCAAGTCATTCCTTTACCTTTTTTCTCCACAAGCATATCTGTTTATCTATATATGTAGGCTCTGGATAATTTTCATTATAGTAAGTAGATCCTCTGAAGCCTCCGCTGTCATCATAGTTTAACTTCATCCGAAGTAAAAGCATCTAAATCTATATCAAGAGTAGAGAAACACCATGCTGCTCATAACCCGCCATATTCACATAAAAATAAACATAAAAAATCGAAATATCAAGGGATATATATATATATATATATACCTCTCACTCACCACCCAAATGATTCCTCAAAGTACTCCACATCCCTATACCCCCGCTTCAAAACTGCATGGACGGCCATCCGAGCTTCGTCCGCCATCTCCGCCGGTCCACAGACCAAAACTGCTGTCCTCACACGCGTCCTTTGATCGCCAGCCTCCTGTACACTGGCCATGATTATGTTCCCTATATCGGGCCTTCCGGGCTGGATATCAATCATCGGGAACGTAGGGCGATCACTGTATATTGCGGCCTTGTTATCTATGCCATCAAACGACGGCAGGAGAGCCGTGCCCTCGTCCGTCGTATTTTGCTGGGATCGCAAGTTTATGCTGCAGGACGTACGATATGTTTGCGATTGTGATGAGGCGGTGCAGTAGAATTGAGTGGTTATATCTGCTCTCCTGAGTGCTGGGCCAAGTTCGCGGGTTGCTACCTCATGGATAAATGCGGCTTGTCGTGTGGTCCACACAAATGTGATATTACTTGTTCTGGTACGTGGAAGATCTATGGGGAGATGTGGATCCAGAAGACTCATTGAAGAGGAGGAGGGCGGGGAGGGGAGGCGGGAGGATACCGATGACTGTGCAATGAGTATAGTATCATGAGAGGGCATTGATCCTGTGCGCCGCAAATGCTCCTCGATATGTGGAAGGGCAGCTGCAATACCAGTGCCTCCAGCGATGAGGATGACGTTTTCGAAGGTATGGAGTTCGATTGCACAGTAATATGGTCCTTCTATCAGGAAACTCGTCGATAATGACTGTTTTGGCGATTTGAGGCACTCAGATCGGAGACGTTTAGTCCAGCCATTAAAAGGCCGTATCCAGAACACAAGTTTGTATTGCACGTCAGTGAGTTCTCCCGTGATGTTCTTCTTGAACGCTATTGGGGTGCCAGTTCCGGATGGTACCGAAGTGCTCGCGGAAGATAAAACGCTGCTCTCGGCGGAGGGGTAATGTTCGACATAATTACCCAGAACTTTCCAACTGCCAGCCGTGAGAGGGTGACTTTCATATCCTTGCAATCGCACTGGTTGGTAGATGTAATAATGGTGTCCTGGTTTGGGATGCAAGTTGCAGGATCCGGGCGTAATTTCCAGCTTGATGATGTCCGATGCTTCACTGTATGATACCGCGCTCTTCGTATATGTAATGGATTTCTTGTGGAGGCGCAGATGAAGATTGCAAGATGTTAATCTCGCGAGACGGGCAAATCTCTCCAAGGCCCATATAACGAGGACAGGCCACAGGTACCGGTCATACAGATTGAACTTGCCCTTGAAGATGCTTGTGTGCCTTCACGATGACAGTCAGTGTCTTACTTCATAGTTTTGACATATTGAGACGTAGTTAATGAATGGGGTATTGAATTACATAAACAGCCCACAAATAATAACAAGTGAGAAGGTGATATGAATGATGAGGAATACTTCGTAGTAATTCCGTCGTAACCAAATCGATGAAGATACAAGTAGCAATGACATGCACACAGTCCCCTATCAGAATTCCAATATCAGCTTTTCGGAGTGCGGTCCAAGAGTTCACTCAAAGACTTTAAGGGAAAGGATACAGAAACTTACAATGACACCCATATACCACCATGGTGAGGGCCAATATAAGGAATATGATCCATCTGTTTTAAGGCACAGAAGAAATTAACAAGTCAACAAAGAGCTTCTAGCTAAATCCATGGATGTGGTAAATTCTCTGACCTCCCGATGTGAGCACCGTATATCCAATTGAATGGATAATAACCTGGATTGTAGCCACCCTGGCAATTGCCCGGTGGAAAATATTGAACGTCGCGAAGCTCCATCCCGTCGCCCATAGAAATGGATTGTTGCGGGAGCCGAAGAGCCAAAGAAGAGACAAGTTGGCATATGCCATTACGCCAGTTCTATCTGATACATATCGATATGCTTGAGTGAATATATCGTCCCAGCTAAGAAATTCGAGGTGCGTGGTTAGCGGGCATAGAGTGATCGTGCCGACTTCGTAACTCACAATAGATTTCCTCTGAAAACGTCATGCCCAACACAGGTAAAAATGAGACTGAGAACGTAAAATAAGACTACCACAATTGCTGCGGCACGTGTGGGAATGGCGCACCAGTAAAGTAGTCGTTGGTGGTGAGTTCCGAACGCCGCTGGGATAATGAAATATGTTCTAATCCAGTGTCGCATCCGTCTGGAAGGGGCCAATAAATGAGAGCTTCGATAATCGATAATCGAAGCGTGGCCTTCAGGATCAGGTCTTATACTGCGCCACTGTGCACCAGAAAAGTAGCTGGAGAGTCGATTTAGTATCCCGGATAGAAGCACGATACCCCAAAACCAATAGGAAAAATATCTTCGTCCGCGATGTCAATAATTAAAGAGACACTTTCAAGGGGGAGGTTTTTGGCTGCTTACCCAAATGCATGATGCGCCCACATTTCGAACTCCCAAGCCCGCTGTCCACCACGTCTTGAACGTCAGCATCTATAACTATCAAACAGAAAAACACCCTCCATCAAGTCCTATTCCTAAAAGAATCACCGCAAGTTCTCGGAAACACCCAGAAGAACACAACGAAGAATAACCGACTAACATTCGTCCTAACTACCCTCCAATACCAATCGAGCGAAACCACCACTACCTCATCCAGCTCCACACCCCTCGGTACCTCTCCATACTCCACCACCCGCAAGCTACTAAGGTACCGCTCCGTCAGCTCTGGTTGAACAGTATTATACGGAATCCTTTGCAGCCCATCCTTTCTACAGTCGACGTCGAGGACCTCCAACCCGTCTTCGATCTCCGTCGATGTGCAATACAACGTCGCTGCGGCATATATGGAGTAAGTGCGCAGCTTGTTGGTGCATGCATCTGATTTCTGGGATATGGATAATGAGCTTGTGAACGAGAGGCGAGATACGGCTTCGGCGATGGAGAGGATGCAACGAGTAGACTCTATGTCTGAGGCTAGCGAAAAGCTGGATACCAGGAGTATGAGGAGAGGGGCGAGGAGCCGCTGGATGTACATTGTTTGTTCTCAGCTGGCTTATGTATAGTTTGTCACGGCGTGTTAATTGGATAGACGATTCTCCCAATTATGATCACGAGCATACGACAAAGAAGTTTCGAATGATGTGGAGCATATTGTCAAGAATCACAGAAGCTCTCAGTAGGAACATTTGAACAGGAGCAGAAAAAGAGAGAAAAAAGAATCCCAGCACCAGGAACTTGAGGAAGTCAATGGCGGATGTCTTGTGAGAAATAATCTACCCTCCCCCCCAAATCAAAATTAAACTTAGAAAGCGAAAGGAAAAATCGAGAAGAACGCAAGAAAGGAAAAAAGAAGACCATTCCCTTGCGCCCTCGCTTTCAGATCGGGCGGGATCAGCTAACCCGGAAGGACGGACCAGATCAGATAAAAAAAAAAAAAAAAAAAAAAAAAAAAAAGCCAGTCGCCCCCTACATGACATAAATTATGGCTTGATTAGTGTGAACATGCGAATTAAACCTGGCCGTGGCATTCCTAGCCAGCCCCCCCACCCCTCCCCCAGGCCTTGTTAGAATCATCATTATCATCGGTCAGCGGGAGGAGCAGCTTGAAATCCACGGTTCAAAGGAATTCGGAATTCAGCCAACAGCAGAGCCCAGCCACATTGTGGTGTTGTTCCTTTCTTCCCAAGCCCGGTTTATCGAGGTTGATGATCATGTACTTGACCCTTTCGTGGTGGTCATCCTCACCAAAAGAAGGACTGGGACGCCCAAGGTTGGGCTCTGCACTAGCGCCATCAGATAACTTTAATGCATGCTTGATCCAATGGTACGGCGGATCTGATAAAGGGTGAGGCCAAACCCCCCCTCTTCTTCCCCCGAAAATTAACAGAAGAGCGGAAATATACTCAAGTGAAAACAAACCTAAAAGTGTGAGTGTGAGTGTGTGATTGTGTGAGAAAGAAGGGGTGAAATAAAGCAAAAGGAAGCGGAAGAAGAAAAACATGCCATGACCAAAAAAAAAAAAAAAAAAAAAAAACTGATTCTATCCGATCTTTGCCGCTTTCCACTATGTATGCAAAACGGGGCTATAGCGATCCCAGCCATCGATTCCCCAGGCACTATGGCGGAGTGGTTAACGCGATGCCCTGCTATTTTAAATCCCAAATCGCAGAAAATTATTAATTAGTTAAGGCATTTCCTTCGGGAGCGCAGGTTCGAATCCTGCTGGTGTCGGCTTCTATTTATATTTCTTCTTCTTTTTTTTCCCTCTCTTCTTCTGTTTCATTGAGAATAAATAAATAAATAAAATGAAAGAAGTTTCATATAAACTCTTAACCTCGCTTTCTCTTTTCTTTCTTTCTTTCTCTCTCTCTCTTCTGTCAAAGGAAGGACACTTAGGAACTCCCCCTGAACAAAACGTAGACAACTCCCTCCTGCATACTCTGACCATGTTCAACAAACTCTATATTTTAGACGGGCATAATTGGAAAATGGAAAGGAGGACAGTGTGGGGAGGGAAAAAAAAGGATAACGCCCCCCAAAGTGAATGAAATGGATATAGATAAGAGAAACAGCGATAAAACTCAGAAAGACGAATGACTTGTATCATCAATCAGTCAAAATATTACACACACGCTAGGAAGAAGAGGAGACGGAGGGAGGCGAAGACCATCGTC